TTATGACAATATAAATTTATTATAAGATGTGTAGGTACCACAAAAGTATTGTAAGCGCTATTCTAGATACGAAATTACCAAGTTTGGCAACGTCATCACACAGGGGCTCGGTTTCGAGATACTCAGTTATGTATACCATCAGTGAATAACCACAACACTAAAATTCAGCATTTATAAAACCTTGTAAAAGTTGAGGGTATCGACAATGTTTTAGAATGTGTATAAATACCTTTTTTAAGTGTTGTGGTTTTTCAGTGATGTCATCCATTACTCAAAATCACGAAACCGAGTCCCTATGAACGTCGTCTGCTAGCGATGCTAGTCTGACCGATTAGACATGGTATCTGTTTCAAACGAAATGTCCTTGGAATCGTTATCACCTACTGAAAGGACCACTTTAATTAAACAATTCCGAGTATATATGCTTCTGAAAATAACGTTATATTCCAGTCGATGACACATAAGCGTTTCCGAGGAAACAATCAAGTCCGTTCAGCGCCGCATCACTTCCAAATACATGTAGTCTATGTATAATACTTATACAGGAATATATATGAAGGAGGCTTTCAACAGCAATATGTAACTCGGATATTATATGGAAATGATTATGTATGATATCATACGGCTATATATATGTAGGTTACTTATAAAGCTATAAGTAATTAGGTTACTCATACAGCAATAGTTCTGTAGAGTTTAATATATAAATATGTATGTAGGATATCATACAGCTATATGTATGTAGGATACTTAAGCAGCAATAAGTATGAAGGTTACTTATACAGCAATATGTATATAGGATATTATATACATGTAGCAATAAGTATGTAGGATACTTAACAGCAATAAGTATGAAGGTTACTTATACAGCAATATGTATATAGGATATTATATAGCAATAAGTATGAAGGAAACTAAACAGCAATAAGTATGAAGGTAACTTATACAGGAAATATGTATATAGGATATTATAAATCAATAAGTATGTAGGGTATTAAACAGCAATAAGTATATAGGTTTATTAACAGCAGAATGGATGTAAAATAGTTATACTGCAGTATTTATGTCGGATATAATACGGAAATATGTATGTAGGATATCATACAGCAATATGTAAGTAGGATACCATACAGTTATATGTATGTATGATATTTAAACATCAATAAGTATTATGTGGGTTTCTTATACAGCAGTATGTATGTAGGTTAAGGCATGTATGTAGAATAAGGCATGCATGTAGGATAAGGCATGTATGTAGAATAAGGCATGCATGTAGGATAAGGCATGTATGTAGAATAAGGCATGCATGTAGGATAAGACATGTATGTAGAATAAGACATGCATGTAGGTTAAGGCATGTATGTAGAATAAGGCATGTAAGTAGAATAAGGCATGCATGTAGGATAAGGCATGTATGTAGAATAAGGCATGCATGTAGGATAAGGCATGTATGTAGAATAAGGCATGCACATAGGATAATATACAGCTAACGTATATTGGATACTTACCTGTACATGTATGCATCAAACTGTATGTATGCTTGGCATACAGTAATAGGAATGTAGGATATATATGCACCGATATGTATGATACTTATACACCAATGTGTATGTCAGATCTGTATACACTAATATGTATGTAGCATACTTTACTCCTACATCAATATGTATGTAAGATATTATTAAGCCATATGTAGATAGGATATTTTCAGCAATATATGTGTAATGTACTTACGCAGCATTAAACATGTAGGATAGTATACAGCAATACATGTGTAGGATTCTTAAATAAAATATGTAAGTTGGTTATGCAGGATATTTGTACAGGATTATGAATATTGGATACTTTACAGTGCAAAGTATGTGTAGGTTACTTATTTAGGACTATTTACATCTAAAAGTATGCTTGCACTGGGTAATGATATTGGGGTTTTATACAGAGGTATATAGATAATGGTTTTGTAAGCAGGTGCTTATACAGGGGTATTTTAGTGTATTTTTGTCGATATTTCAGTAAGGTGGAAATATTTCAACTCTGTTCACTTTAGCTGCAAATTCATGAATCCGAAATTGTCATAGCCTTAAATTTCATATGCATTAACCGATATCTAAACTAATTGTAACTCAGTGTCATGAAAAAAGCGAGGTAGTTACAAGAAATAGGATAAAGTTAAGCCGTTATTTTAACCATTTCTTGTTTTCTTCTTCTTGAATATTAAAAAAGAGGCATTTAAATTTGAACTTGATAAAGATCTGTAATATGCTTCTGAGAAATCTACAAGTATAACGGTTTTTACCACAATTAGCTGAAAATAGTTTATATAAATTAGAATATCTTGATTTGTATGAACTGTTCATCGAGTTGAAGTGGCATAAACAGTATGGGTGTAGCATGATTTATTTATAGTGAATACACGGGACGAGTATATGTAACAGCCAGCTAACAGGAAAAGGTGAAGTAGTTACTTCATGTAAGTGTATATGAGTCGATCATCACATTAAAGCCACGTGCCACTTTAAATAATAAAGCTTGAAAGCAACAAACTATAAGCTGTGTTCAGGGATTTTTAATTTCATTTTTGGCTAACATAAATCGACATAAATGTTCCTTTTTACTACCATTTACATTTAATTTATCTTCATTAACTATTTCTTTTTTTTTTCATTCTGTTTAAGAGTTTTCTTGATATCTATTTTCTGTCCTAAAATCTATAATTGAAGAACCAAGACCTTGCTTTGATTATTATAATTTCCATCAAATACAGTAGTTGTCGTCTGTTGACGGACAAACTTAGGTTTATGGTCACTGTCATGATCTCATTGGCAAATATACCATTTTGTGTCCTACAAAGCCGATCGTTTTGGTTATGCTCACTAGTGTGCTTTCAATTGGAGAGAGATTAACAAGATGTGTGACGTCGATGATGCAGAAGACGTCTGTCTTTCTGGGACACATTGGCTTAGCATGCTTGTACCTCGTTTGTTAATATTTTGTCATCGTTTATCAATTTTGAGTTCTAACAACGATTTTATTGACGCTTCGCTTCTTTCTTTTTTCTGTGATATCTTTGACAAGGTGTGAAGGCCTTTGTGATGAGGCACTCAAGTTGTTATCATTTGGGATGAATATTTGTCTCACCGCTTTTTGTTAAAATGTATTTACAAAGTGACGCAAGCATGCAAACGTTTTTTCTTACACATTATACACCAAACATTGCAGCTTTCCATACTTTCTACTTAGCGTGCACTTGTTTTCACTCGTGGATGGCCATGTTCCATGTTGTAAAAACTAATCGTCTATTTGTAAGATTGCTAACGTACATTGTATGTCTTGTGACCGTCACGAGAGGAAACATTAACACTTCTTCGGTAAAGTTTGACAGTGTACCCCATTAACGACAATTATCGAGAAATTAAACAGCTCAAATACTCATTGAGTATACCTGTCGAAAAGGTATTTTGAGTGCAAAGAAGACACAGTGATGCCAATTAAGGCGCTTGGTCGACGTAATATTTTGTTTTGTTTTTGTTTTTTTGTTGTTGTTAAATTTGAATTGTAGAATGAACAGCTATATTCATTAGCCTTGCTTCAATATATCTATACGTTTTATACATGTTGATTTGGGACAATGGGATGCACCGAAGCGAATTATGGTGCAAGTGCAAATGTTCATCCATCATTATTGGAACATTTTAACAATAGTATAAACAATCTAATAACCTGTAATTCGTCTATTTCCTTAAAGTAGTTATTCCAGATGTCTCTTGCCATTCCAGCAAATATTGTAGATATTTTTCTCTTGAAATATTGTTCTCGTATCGTTACTATGACAGCCAGTCACAGCCTTGGTTAATGCTTCGACAGAAATGAAAGTCGAAGTCTAACGGTTAAGTACTCGTATTTCGAGCGACATTGCTTTAACTTATTCTTGTTAGGAAGTATTTGATAATATTTTACATTTTCATATCAAGTTAAACATAACGAAACGAACACAAGTGTTGATAAACTCAAAATACAGGTGACATATCAGCCGTAGACAACCCTCGGACGCTGTAAACATCGTGACAGTTACACGGTTACCAGTTACCAGTTACACGGTTACCAGTTACAAGGTTACCAGTTACACGGTTACCAGTTATCAGTTACACGGTGACCAGTTACACGGTAACCAGTTACACGTTAACGAGTTACACTGTAACCAGTTACACGGTTACCAGTTACCAGCTACACGGTTACCAGTTACACAGTTAACAGTTACCAGCTACACGGTTACCAGTTACACAGTTAACAGTTACCAGTTACACGGTTACCAGTAACACGGTTACCAGTTACACGGTTACCAATTACTAGTTACACGGTTACCAGTTACCAGTTACACGGTTACCAGTTACACGGTTACCAGTTATCAGTTACACGGTTACCAGTTACCAGTTACACGTTTACCAGTTACCAGTTACCAGTTACACGGTTACCAGTTACACGGTTACCAGTTACACGGTTACCAGTTACCAGTTACACGGTTACCAGTTACACAGTTAACAGTTACCAGTTACACGGTTACCAGTTACCAGTTACACGGTTACTAGTTACACGGTTACCAGTTACCAGTTACACGGTTACCAGTTACCAGTTACACGGTTACCAGTTTAAGCATCCTTTATGATGACTATTTCAGGAAAGTATTTCAAAATGTTAATAATCTGTATGACTTTTTGTTTTGAACAATACTGGAATTCGCTGCACATATCGTGTTAAAATTCCCAAAAAACATTTGGATTCCAAAATACATTATAAACCATTATTTTGTTAGCTCTTAGATGAGTCAATATGTCAGATGTGTGCTTTTTAAGTGTGGTATGTGTCTGATAGACAAGGGTAACTGCTGAACAATTCGGAACAACGAATCCATAACAGGAAATACCTCATTGGACTGAATCCGGTTTTATCCGGAAGTCTCCGTCCCATATATACGTGAGTTTATTGAATTTTTAAGTTGACACTTCATATCGGCCACCTTAGCTGTCACAGTAACATTGCAATGAATTTCGGACCCATTTGATGGTACACGTGAGTATGTTTTATATCTTAGTCGAATACTGTCGTTTCAATATTGTCATTTCGTTCTACTTTAAACCTAAAGAGGATTTCAAAACAACTGTCTATTTGATAATATTTCAGAGTTGCAGCATCTCCTTATATTTTCACAAGTGTCAATCACAAGTGAACATATATAACGATTGATTTTTCTTTATTACTTTAATAACTATTTACCAAACCGTGGGGTCTAAATAAAACTCTTGAATCTAACTTAAAATGACGTCGTGTTAGATGGTAGAGCAGATTTGAGCGTAGTCTATATATATCGCGGGGTTGGGTATTTCCTGTATGCTAATGTAATGTGAATGTTTCAATAGCTACACCACAACCTAACTCGCTGAATGTGATGAATAATTTCACGACCGTGACACGTTTATTCTTTTATCCAAGTAATAATATACCAGCCTCGCATTCTATTAAAGTAAAATGGTTGATTCGCCTTTTGAAAATAATCTGTTGAGTACGCTTTAAAACATGACTAGTCCCAGCAACTCGTGTGTTTAAAAGTTATAATGAAGCAGAAATGTAGAGATTTATTAATGAATTACCTTTGTTTGTGTTCTTATATGAGTATAACTACATGCCGTTTATATTTAACATACATGCTCATATACCCTTCCAAAATCACATGATTCATTGGAAGGTGCATTCTCTTAATGATATACCCGTATTTGTAATCCGATGTCACGGTCCAGGATTAAAGATTCGTTTACTTATAGAGCAATTAGTTAGTAACCAACATATTATCATGGATTTGCAGTCATACATAACAATATGAACGGGATCGAGCTACAGGTGGTATGGAAACACATACCTTTCCGGAGAATAATGTTTTGCTTTTCGGGATATATAAATGTTTACAATCTTTAAATGACTAAACAAAGGTTTTGTCTATGTTGCATAACGATGTGGTTGATTAATGCTATTAATAATATGCCCCCTTTGTTAACAGGAAGAGCAACGATATATATGCGAATTTTATACAGTATATCGTGCTCTGATGATTCTATTTGGGCTTTTGATGAGGTAGACATGTCAGGTTATGCAGTGTCCTTTAATTCCTTCCTATGTTTTCCTGTCACTTGTTCTATTCGATGAAGAAGAATGTGGTATCCGGATACCTCAATTTCCGCTCCGTCGCGAGATAGTTACATCAACAGGATGTGTATATGAGGGTTAAGAGGAAACATAACACATCGCGTCCCGATGTATTGGCAACCGAAAGGAGGGATATGCATGTGCATTTAAATGCTGCTTACTGGTTATTTCCTGTGATGATAAAATATTTGGCTGGTAGACAAAAATAATAATACATGTGAACCCATCTAAACATAAACATCGTATGGACCGGTAAATATTAAACGAATGTTGAATGGATTAAAACATGTTATAACGCCATGTTATTGCCCATTTATCGAGTTAATTGTTATAAATTGTACCAAAATTGAAAACATAAAAAACTGTTATTATGATACATAACAAAAATTACCGGCACTTTACATTATTTCTGATGGACGCTTTTTTTGTTATAAGTCTGAATTGAGTAATGAGGAACAACCCTGTTTTCATGTCTGTTGTAATCACTTAAATGAATCCATCTTCACAGTTTTGTGGACAACTGATCAAGCTGAGGTGACATAAACAGTAGATAAGGTTATTTATGTAAATGGACGCATCTGTTAAGTACAAATAACCTCTACCACTTCAGAAAAGAGTGATGAATGCACTTAAATTCGTGTATATGAGTTGCCGCATTACTTTAATACATGCTACTTTAAAACAAAGCAGGCAATAAAACAAAAACAAAATATTGATGGTTCGTTAATTTCTTTGTTGCTAACAAAATTATTGTTTTACACTTATATATTTGCACTATTTTCTTTCTACAATTGAGTGTACATACATGTAGGTATCTGCCTTGTATAAAAGTGTAGATATACTATTTACATCATATCCTAAAAGGTACGGAATTTCCCAGAATGACATATCTGTGTTAAGTTTGTCTTAATCATCAAAATTTCAAATATTCGTTTGGTGTTTTGCTTCACGTCTTGATAGTAGCTATATTCATTTAAGGTTTGTGTTCTACATCCTATTTACAGCTATGTTCATTTAAAGTGCCACGTTGTGGTGACGGAGGAAAACCGGAGAACCAGGAGAAATCCCACCGACCTGTGGCTGGTACCTTCTCACTGGTATAAACTTTCATTCTGAACAGTTCGGTACCTTTTAGCATTATCTGTGAATTGTATACCCCCTTTATTTCGAGACTGATTACTGTGTGGTATGCTTAACCTCTTTTATTTCTGTTCCATCCAAATATTCATTACTGAAAACTCAAACCGTTTCGCCGAATTTTATTATTTGCTTGATACCTTAAGGATGTCGGGTGTTGACGGACTTTACAGCATAGCGTTTTCAAAGGTGGAGATTGATTAAAATTATGGAATGTTCTACCGTTGACATCATGATTTTATTTGGAAATAAGCTTTTTGATTGTTTGAAGGTCGATGGGTTTTGATAACGCTGTTAAGTTTGCCCTGTTGATATCACTGCCCTAGTCCTAATTGTTAAGGCTGATGTTGATGTTTTTGAAATCTCTTTGACACGGAGTGGAAACTTTTGTGATCTCGTTTTTTAAAATCATCAAATGATCATGTTTAATACATAATGCTGCTTTTGAATGGATGGTCCACACTATTGCTATCTTTTCGGATTAGTCTCAGTCTCATCGCTTTAATGTTAATGAATTTATTCAGTGATTATCAGAAATTGCTCAAAAATATAAAAGTCGAACAATCTAGATTACATCGTTGACCAACTGTAAGCATTTCATTATCCATCTAATTTTGATGTCATAACACTTCAAGGAGCATAGCTTTTTATAATTTGTCATAGTATACTAGATATTTGCATTTAAATTAGGCTTTAGGATATTGATAAATATTTTATGGATTGGATATTTCCTGCAAACCAGTGCTGTTTTCCGAGCATTTATACAACAGCCTTTCCATCCGATGAAGCATAACACTTGCTTCGTTTATTGAATAATCTGTTGTAAAACTCTGTTTACAAATTGTGTGTTCTAAATTATATTTACACTATTCAACGCAAACGTGGCAATTAATGATGTATGTGGTCTCATATAGATTATACCTAAATACCATCGATGTCATAATACATACTCATGTAGACAACTCCAGTTTCTCTTTGAAATTCCAAGATTCACTGAAAAGTGGCGTTGGTTTTCTTCTTTTTTTCATTTTTATCCGGAAACTAAAATACTTCCCCGGATATGATGCGACACAAAACTATGTAAACGGGTTCGTGCTACATGTGACATAGGCAGTACTTACCTTTCCGGATAATATGGTTTTTATCATATTTTTTTATCATCAACGTTTATCATTTCTGGTGTGTTGCCTTAAATTTGCTGATTTTTGAAGGACTGAATGAAACTTTTTTACGTGTTGAAAAACATTTCGATTAATTGATATTATTAATACTAGGTGCATTTGTTCACAAAAACAACAACTATCAACTATAAATATGCAAATTTGTAGTGTATATTATTATTATTATAACAATATATAGTAGTATTTATAACTATTTATTTTGCACTGTTCATAATTGATTCTATCTTGGGTAAAGATGACGTCATTTTAGGTTATACAGTACATGTATGTATGTTGTTTCAGTTATCGCCTTATTGTTTTCCCCTCTCACTTCCTTTAAAAGGAAGAAGCCAATGGATTATGAGATCTCGACTTCCGTCTAGGCCATTACTAGACCACAGAATAATTACGTTACTAAATATATGATGTAAATATGGGGATTTAAAGGAAACATGACGCAATAATTTTTGATGTATATGAAACTGAATAGAGGACTAGCACGTGCGGTTGAATGCTACTTACTGATGATTCCGCCGATGGTTAAATCTTTGGATTGTAGATTTAAATCAAATACTGGAAAGATATAATTAAGTCTTTAAACGTTAACACAGACTCGGGCTCATATTTAAAATATAATGGTGGTTTGTATGTAAGGATGTCCTCTTACGTTATGACTTTTGGTGAAAACATTTCTCGACGCAAAGATATGTCACAGCTACAATGTAATACTATTGTAGAATAAAAAGTTCATATGGTGCAGTAGTAATATTTGAAAAGCAATCAATTGATACACAAATATGCGTTAAGTTATAACATCTAAAGGATAATGTCTGTTCATAACCTCAAGTACGTTTTGTATGCTAGGACACCAATTGCACTAACAGTGTGGTCATACAAAACTATACAAAAATCTAGAAATCATTTTCTTTCTCTTTTAAATGTAAACTCATCCATGCACCGAAATTGCATGAACCCTGGACAGATCACACATATCATACTTATCGAAGGTTTATATATTATTAGCCAGTGTATATACTTTAATACTTATATGTTTATCATTATGTGTATGCTGTGATAATATTCCAATATTAATGTGTAAAGGCTAAGTTAATAGCCTTCTCTAGACAGAACAAACGTCATTCTTTTAATGTACTATCTAAATACAGACTTTGATTATGTTTATACTTCATCAGTAGACATCAGATTCAGAATATGGTGTTGTTTCCTTGTCATAGCTTATGTATCACATTACAGCCTGTTGTAATAACTTAGTCTTTCTGAATAAAATGTTCAGTGTTGACCAATAAATTATAAAGATAGGTCTTTCAAAGACAGAGGTTTCAAAATCTGTCATTGCGAATTTGATGTCATCTCCATAAACTACTTAACAAAAGTCTGCATTGGTTAAAGCAATATATTAAAAAATATCATTCATAATCGAACTCGATATTGATACCCATGTCACTGATCTTTTCTTTGTAGAGGGCATCAAATGTTTCATTCTGAGTCACCGTTAGTATGTTTTTCCAATCACCGATAATTCCTACAGTAAGATGAAATCGGGTTAGAAGATAGAACAATGGCATATGTAGGCAACGTGTTCTTGCTCAACATTACAAATAAATACTGTGATGATATCGTCGTTACGCAATTACAATAAAATCTGTCAAGTTTTGTGACAATTTTTTCCCAAAATAAAATCACGCATTGTATGACCTAATATCATATATTCATAGATTTATACTGAATATGTTGATAAAGTAACAGTTAATGAATTTCAAATATTTTCCTTATTTAAACGTTCACCTACTTTCATCTGAACTGCCATCTATTTAATTTGTAGTATATTCGGCTTCTCAATTTGTAATTAAATCATAATATTCAATTTGAGTTTTAAAGGATAAATACTACATTAATGAATTCACGCCCCAAGAACGACGTATATATAGTGACGTGGGTAAATTCAATGCAATATTGATTTTAATCACAATATAGACGTATTTGTTTAATACTAAATACTGCTGAAATGATCTTAATGATACAAACATGAATCAAAATCAAACAAATTTCTTAACTTAAAGTTTTCAGCTTATCAATTTACAAATAATTGGGCTAATACTCTTGCAACTGGCCAAAAGACATCGTAACAGAGTGTGTACAACAGGTTAATATGTAGCATTAAAACGCCATGAAGTTAAAGCATATATTACTATAATAATTATGTTACTACAATATGCTTCCTTTCTTACCTTTCCAGTATATCGGAAGTCTTCCATTATCTCCTTTGTGCTTCCAAAGTTCACGTTCACCGATATGTGTTGCATGCTGCTTCCTCATGTTTTCAATCGATACAGCGACTTCCACTTTCTTCAATAAAGTTTCTTCATGATCGACTTTCAGAAAGTCTGCTATTCTCACGATATTCTTATATACGTTCTGAAAAGGTATAATACAATTCTTTTTCTGGTTTATACCAAAGAAACGATGATATTATCATGTTTACGCCATCTATTACATACTTACAGCACAGGGTGTGAGTGTGAGTTTTCGTGTTTGTGTGGCGGGGGTGGTGGGGGTTAGCTAGTATTGGCATTTTACTTCCCAATAGTCAACATTGATGCTTTATGCTTAAAATCTGGTGTATGGTTACTACTGTGACATGTATTTCTTTATTTCCTCTACATGTATAAATAACGAAATTATTTTAATTGTGTACCTTTTTTGCAGATCTTCATATCTCTGAACCAATATCTTTGGATCTGGATTTGTTAGCTTAGCAGTTTTCCATTCCCTCGTGTGTATAAACCATGATCCACTAGATCCTATAACTAAAAAGCAACACGAGAAATTGGTAGTTTACTACAAAATATAACAATATTTATATGACACAAAAGTAATTCATATATGTTATTTCAAGGGCGAATTAAAATTTTCATTTCCATATATATAACCAAATGCAATTGTATATGTAAGATATCAAATGAATTATACTTCACTTAGCAAACATGACACCCTCAAATAGAATAACTTTATATAAAAGAAACACTGTTTTACGCTTATATTAGCTTCAGAATGAAAAAGAATCTGACAATAAGTTTAGGGGACCTGTAAATAGTACCTGATTCAGTTATATTTACAACGTATCTATCAATGCTGCCATTATATTCATCGGTTTCAACTTTACACAGGTACGTGTAGTAGGAACAAGCCACGCCTTTCGGGTTCCGCAATACGTTTATGATTTTCATTTGTCCAGTTGCTGCCGCTTTAGGTATACATGGATAGGTCATATGCGTATGAAGCATTCTAGGTGATTTCATTCTATTGAATACTTCAACATCCCGATAGTCGATCGCGAGCATCTCTGGTGTTCCGTAGTATTGAAGGGTCTTGGTTTGTAACATTCTGGCCATATTGAACACCCAATGTGTACCTTTGAAAATATACGCAAAACAAAATATTTATATTTATTTAACATGTTCAATGTAGATAAAGGATATACAAATATATAAATATGTGCTATGGAGCTTTCAATATTCACCAGTCTAATAAATATCTTCTCAGCAGTTCAGGACTAGTAGCGTGTAAAAGGAAAAATTGCCGGCTGGCCGGCCAACCGCACGACGGATGGAATATAAATATTTAAAAAGGAGATCCATTATAGGGAAATTTGTATCTCTATTCTTTGATATTGATTTAATACACAGCGGTACTTCTTGCTTGTAAAAAATCTATTAAAATCTCCTACCTGATTTTGGAAATGTGCAGAGCAACACATCATCTGGCCTGCATTGTAATGAGGCTATACCAGCCAAGCGATCTCAAACATTACCAGGTGTATCTTTATGGAATGTTCGACCCTGGTACCGCTTAAATCTAATGGTATTCCCCAGATCGTCAGTCTTGGCTACAAACTCCATATACATAGCTATCACTAAGTTTAGCGTTTAGTCTGTTCTGTTAAGAAAGATATCGTAATTATAATTATAATCATAATTATCACACAAAAAAAACATTTTTTAAGAGGACATGATAGCGACTATATAATTTACCTATTTTCTTTCTCATACCACTCATTAACCATTTTATGATGGGATGTTAATATCAGGAAAGGGATAGAGACAAACGGCTAAAGTAAATGTGTATGGTGACCTTTATTGTGAGTCCAGGAGGGTACACATGATCGAAATCATCGATACATTTCGTATTATTAAGATATAGTACATGGTCGATTGATCTTATGGTGACATTGTAGGATCTTGCAAGGGCTTTGTCAACTTTCATGATTAGTTCATCAAAATTTCAGCCTCATATGAAAACAAAAACAAGTCGGTCCGAAGAGCAGCACAGTTTGATCCTATAGGAATACCTGCAGTCTGTTAGAACATCTTGCCGCTAAAATCACCATTGATGCCTTTTGTATTAAACAAACATAAAATCAATCAAATTTCAATTTAAAGACTGTATTCTAAACACAGCGAACTTATTCCTAGTTTATCAACATACACCAACATTCTTATTACAATAATATCCTAGCATACCCAGGGCGGCTGCAATCCTCCCAATAATTGTTATATAATTAGATTACAGGAGGTTTAGGGTTTCCTCCTTTATGCCCAACACGTACTATATATACATACAGAACACTACAAAAGCAGTTGAGTCCCCCCGGGGGTACCGGGTGGTATACCCGCTGCAAATTGAACTAAAGATAAATAAATAAAATAGGAAATACACATCCATTGGCAGTTGCGTCCCCCATTTCCCGGTCCACCCACCATCACACTCCCCTATTCCGAAATCTCTCAGCTCATTTCATTAGTTCCTTTCACTCCTTTCTTACCTTCCCGCTAATATGGGTTTCCTCCCACATTAAGACCCCACTAGCGCTAACAATATGTAATACTTTGTGGTTTATTCCATACAAAAGGAAGTCAGCAACAAGCACGACAGCATATTAAAAAAACTCCATTATATACTGTTTCTTATAACATGACCAATAATTTGTTAAGGTTGTCTTAGAAAATTAAAGACTTACATTCTTCCCGTTCTTTCAAGGGAGGAACAATCAAATAGTGTCACATGCATGCATATGTTGTTCAGGGCACGTTTACCCGTTCTTCAACACACTTCATTGTTTATTTGTAATTAGTTGTTTCCTTTCTCGTCCATGTCTGTGTACACAAGCAGTGGATTAATTGAATGATAAGATTGATTTTGAAGACCTAAAACGATATGATGATCCACCCTATCGTCAAAAATGTTTCCTTTATAAGAACAGATGACTTTTACGCTCAATGCACTACCATACCTGATATGAGACTTTTACGCTTCGGGAAAATCCGACCATATAAATTTTTATGACCTCTATACTTATTCTATCACTGTCAGATAACGACGTAATATATAAAAAAAATCCTAATATGTTATGAGTGTATGTATACATTAGAAAATTTGCTATATAAAGCGTTTCCTTTTCTAGACAGCTTTAACCGCTGTCTTGTTTAAACATCATTGCCGGTAAGAGGTTGTTAAAAATAGGAGGTAACAGGCACATGTACATGAACCTTGTTTCTTACCGGAATTCTACTTCTTTGGCCAAACACCGTTTATTCCTGAAGATAACAACTGATATATTTACAGTAATTCGATGAGTATAAGAAACTGAATTATTTATGCTTGACATTTACCCCTAGAAAATAACCCAAGACAATAATAATGTGGTTCGAACTCACAACTAATAAAATTGAAATATGAACAAAGGAATTTTTACCTGGAGGCATTTCAAAAGTTCAAGGAAATTCAAACTAGGTGTTCCAGAGGGGTTACCGTTATCTTTTCTATTGACGACATCAGCCTTATACGTTTCGGTTAACTCCAAGTAAGGTCACGTCCTTAGAGCTACATCTGGGGTGGTGACAACCAAGCAACAAGACACATTAATGAGCATAATGAGGATATACATATATATATAAATCCATCTCAAATCACAAAGAATTTATCTCAGAATCACATCATATTGGTGACTATTAAAAGTGTTCATAGTCTTCATTAACCTGCATCTTTGAAAACGCTATGTTGTAAATTGTATGTCATCAGGCAGGAGTCAAAAGTCATGATATTCGGAGCAAGCTCTTGAATATCGAACAACCGCGATATGTACTAGTGTAATAAGCACCAAAGGTTTGTAACTATGAAGAAGGGAAACTTTACGACGGTTTAATACGGGTATTTTCAGTGACATTTCATTACATTCGAAACAAACAAAAATAGGTCTGGACAAAACCAAAAAAAAAACATTTGACAAAAAAATTAAAGTGTTCATTTTACTTTTCAGAAAGAAATCTTTATCATTTGAGACAAGTGCACCGTAAATAAATACAAACATGGTAAGTCGAACAAGTATCATTATCAATGTTTTATTTTTGTTACTTACATACTCAAACTTTCTAGATTTACATTTTTATTCTGTAATCTCAATTGGTATTTTACAGGAAAAACAACGGCAAACAACACTGGGACAGAAATCAGCGGTCAACACACAAACTATTGAAGGTATCTAATAAACAATTTCCCAGTACCACAATAGTATAAGGCCAGAAAGTTCAATTTTGTCCAAGTTTCTGACTTAATATACATTAAACTGCCAGTAACCCCTTTCACTACCTTGTTAACGTTTTAATGACTGTCTTGTATTTGCTAGAGACTATGACCTCTTGAGCCATATGCCAGTTAGCAGCAGCTTGGCGGTTGGGGACTTTTGGAACATAATAGGGCAACATAATTTAAAACAAAATCGATATATGAAAAATTATAAACAAAATGTGACACGCCCACGAAACTCGGTAATCACTTTAATACATATCTTCATTGAAACATTCAAAGCACATACAATGTTGTTCATATGTGACACTATGTCGATCGTAAAAAATCATCACACTTAGGTTAATGTACGAAATATGAAAATTAGAAACAGTGCCTTTTCGCTTTTTTCACCTTTTCGACTTCTACTCGGTAGGTATAGAATATAGAAGAAAACGTCACTTGAGAAAAACAAAACAACAATGTCCCAGCGACACAGAAACGTTTAAGAATGCAAAATGCCCCTATCACCTTTGTCGCCGTTACACATTGTAATGATGCAAAGAGGTAGCAAAGTGTAAAAGGTTGAAAGAAAAGAAAATTGCCCTAATGAACAACCGCATTTTAGCATGTGACTTTTTTGCTGGAAATTTTGTACCTAAAATGAAAACCTTTATGCACAGATTTACGGAAAGAAAATGCTGCTCTTAGACTGAAACTACACTGCTCCCTATGCCATATCCGACGGAAAGGAGTGCTGTACCTTGGATGCAACCATCTGGCACTGTGTGAACAGTGTGATAAAGTCCAGAAGAATTGCGTCATTTGCCGAAGGAAAATCCATGCCTCTATGTATGTGTATTTTGGAACGTAGACTATTAAATCGCCAACGTAACTACTACGGAACAAGTGAACGGTTAAGATAAACCCCCTTTACAATGGATATGGGTTCCCTGTCAGTGCGTGGCCTTTCCGTAAACTTGTAGCTCTGCACTGTAACGTAACAAAAAGGTTTTTACATTTTACAATGTGACGATCATGTAATGCCTAATCCTAGCGCCATTACAAAATTTTCCTAAGCACGTATACTCAACTCTACAGCCACGCGGATTGGTTGGTTCCATGAACATAATAATAATTCGCGTGTGATGGTATACTTTGTTCACCACTAAATGTAAATAAATAATGACAGCATTATTATGCTGCAGTTCGAAAATGGTTATGACGATATTTTTGGCTATGGTACATGCTGAAAAACGATTGTTCCAATCACGAATTGAATTCGTTTCGTGGATTTATTGTTTCATTTGACAGCCAGTGTCAGACACTGTTCATTTTGGAATCTTGTTATGAAATGAATGTGTTATTTAATTGTGATTTTCAACTGAGGTTTGTTTTCGAGAAGGAATCAAATCTTACGAAAACGTAAATAGAAACAAACCCTGGGCACGTCGTTTTTGCGGAGCAAAGAATGTTGGAAAAAATGTTTTTGATCACCGTAAACTGACGGACAGCTACAATGTACCTGGGAACCAAATGGTTAACATTGTTAACACGTTTCATGTAGCTATATCAGAAAAATGGGGTCAACTGTCGGTCTCCCGATTGACAAAAAAGGCTTAATCATGGTACTTAACACTTATTCTAAAAGCTTAATAACCAAACACGACTCCTGTCGACAAACACATTTACTCATGATCCCCTCTGATAAATAAGACTCGAACTTCGCTTTCGCGGTGGATTTTACGCTTTATTTGACAACGACATTCTTATGGGATATAGTTAACGTGAGGACACTGACTGATCCCAAATGGTCAAAAAGTTCCATCCGTAAGTGGTTTTGACAAGGAGTGACCTAGATCTCCATTAACGTCAAACCGTACATCACATAGATTTAGAGACAAACGCTTAAGCACTATGCGATTTAGAAGAAAATACCATGTACATTTTATGGTTTGTTGTATGCAACCGAAATGATTATTGAAAGGTTTCAAACAATTTCAAGTGTCAAAAATGAATATTGTTTTTTTTTCATTTACCTACCCCTAGTTTGATTATTACCTGCTGATAAGTGTGAGAATAATAATCGGGAATAACGATGGTAGATTGTCATATGGATAAAAATACAAGTTATATTAGAGAAAATTATATATTGTCTAATAAATGCTTCGGTTTATGTGTATTTAAGAACATTTTCCGCGATTATTTCCAGCGAATAGTATTACTTATATCGTTGTAAAAAAGTTATACATAAGGAATGGAGTTTTCAATGCGTTATAGGGAAGAACATATAATCTAAGAAACATAATGAGTGGTTAATCTGTTATGTGATAAACATATGGTAAATAAATGTGATGCTCTTTTCCTAACGATGAACTTTACAGGTTTAGCATTAAGGACACGTTAAATACTATCTTGGGTGCCTTCGAATTCTGAAATCGGTATGAGTCCTGCAGATACCAACACACGTACTGGCACATACAGTACACATGTTCAAACTAACTTAAATGATAACAAAACCAAACTATTTCGTCGATCATACTTTTTATTATATTTGATATGAGGTCATCTAAACATTTGCCACTATGATATATTTAATTATTTTGTTAAAACACTTGTTCATGGCTAAAAGGCTGTTTTTATAAGTGAAAACTAAGTCATCTGAAATTTTAAAGGCACTAATATTGTTTTCATTATTATTTTGTAGTATGTTTTTCCACCCTGACGAAAGGGCCCCTCTGATTTTTGAGATTTCCGATATCCAGTTATTTTTACCTTTTTATCTTTTTCAGTAATTGTTCTAATGAAATTAAGTTATTTTGTTCAACATCCAGATATAATTTATCTTTGTTATTCCAGTCCCTGCCCAATTTTTGGAAAAAAAGTGGATTATTTTCGAATAATAAATTATGATTCCCAAATAAGTTTTGGTTAACGACATCTTCTGCACTGCTTACAGATACTTTTTTAGCAGTTTTTGCTAATGCCAAATTCCCTCCAGATAAATTGCCGGATTTTTTTCAACTCCAAGTTATGAGTGTTGCTGCATCTACATAAGAAATAATTTGTTTTGTAAGCTCTGTCATAGCTTTGCAGAAAGTGTTTACCTACTATGTTTCATGTCTGTATTTCACAATTAATTACTCTATATATTAGTTTGATTATATTCATTGTAACACTATATCAGTCATATTTGACCCTCCCTGTCTCTTTTCTTAATAAACAGTTTCTTTTTGCCACCTTATTTCTTTTACTATCCCAAAGAAATTCATATATTAATTTGTTTATTTTTTGTAAATATTCTTCAGATATGGTGTTTTGTGCTAATTCATAAGTTAACTGAGAGCATGTAGGGATTTGATTATTAGAGTTTTCCCTTCTAATGACAAATTTATCACTTTCAATTTCAACTTTTAATTTTACTCTCCCATAGCCTTGTTTTATCGATACTATATCAATGAAATGTTCCTTATACCTTGATATTGTCTCTGACCCATGATATATCTGTATAGTTTGGGAGTATTTTCCAATAGATTTTAAGGAGAAAAGGACGAAGCTTGGAGAAAAACTAAAATTGATGAATAAATGGTGACGATGTCCCACATTGACCATGCCTACATGAATGTTGCAAAGGGTGGTCGAGTGGCGCAATGGACAACGCACTAGCCTTTCACCAAGGCAGTCGGGTACGATTTCCTGATTGGACGTGAACAGATATGGGGCCACCTCCCCATACATTTGGATTTCTCCGGTTTTCCCCACTTTAACTCATCCCCCTTTCGCGCGTACATCCAGGCCAACGAGAGTTATTTATTTAAGTGGCAACAACTTGTTTCATATTCGTTGTAATTTTTGGTGGATTTGTTGGTTCTATGGACATTGTATTTATTCCCGTGTGAAATGTCGTCAATGAATTCAATGTCATATTGCCCCTGTCATTTTGAATTGTTTTGTTGTAAATATTACTTAAATACATATTCTACCCTAATTATTGTTTAGAGCATACTTCGTTTATCTCACGTTATTCCTGTTTTTGTCGTTAACGCACCTATACATTATCTTCTTAATATGTCCTAACCGTTCATAACACTGTCAGAATTGACGATAGTTCTAACATCATTAAGTGTAGATTACTTTGTACAGATGCGATGATTATTCTGCCCCTGGAAGCTATTTCGTTTATACTTAAAACAAATAGTGATTTCTGGTTCAGGTTACTGTACCGAGGGACCAAAGGGAAACATACATGTACAGCGTTAAGAGAACACATATTGGTTACCGAGTGATTATTATACTAACTTTTTTTCTAATTGTTAAGATGTAAATATTGATACCTGTATTTAGATGTTGACTACTTCAGGTCAAAATTACAACCTTCTTTTCGATTATCTCTGATTTCACTCGGTATCTGTTTGCAGTATGTTCACCAAACATATCTTTCTACTAATTGGTACATTGCATTGTACCCACTGCGTCCTATATATATATATTTATAATGTTTCCAGGTATCTACGCTACAAATTTCAGATAAAAAGATTAACATATTTTATAAAGAAGAACAAGTATAATATTATCTTATTTTCACCGGAATAATAGTCGTGGGACCTAGGCTATGGTTGTTTAGTAAAGAACGGCATTTACTTTACAGTGATAAACTGATATGAGGGCGCCGTCATTGACCTCTAATCTGATTACGTCAGATAACGACGATATATATATTCTTTTTTCTTTTTTTTCCGGAGATGTCAAGGTCGCGCGCACCTTGAATGGACGGTTTAAACAGCGCTCCGCCAAAAAGTACTTTTAACGACAGTTCTTGTATAGATTATCATTAGATTTTCATCATGGACACTTAAGAANGTTCTTGTATAGATTATCATTAGATGTTCATCATGGACACTTAAGAAGGTATTTTCTTTACAATACCTGTCTTTCAAGCATATCCAACTGAAGGAAATGTGTATTTTGGAAGCTTTTTTTAAAAACAATGAACTTACGCTACTCACGCGCGGTGACCACAACTTACCACACATTACTATAGACGTGTACCATAGCTAGGCGCTTGCCGGTATAGTGTGTATATATCTTCTGTTTCACCATATAGACCAACATGGGTCCGAGTAAGGCGAAGACTTCGACCGAAAATGTGGATGAGTTATCAAAAAAACTTGAAAACACTATTACAAAGGACTATCTTAACTCAATTGTGGCAAAGTTAAAGGACGAACTTCAAGCAGATATTCAGCGGGAGGACGTAGAAATTGTTCATTTGAGAATTGAGGGAGAATTAACTCGCTCGAGTCTGAGAACGAAGACCTGAGGGAAAAGGTCACCATCCTTGAACAGGGACAGAGAGTAACTGATTCCGAGGAATTAATTAGTGACCTTTGGCAGCGCTACAACGACCTTGAACAGCATGGCCGTAAGAATTTGATCCAGAGTAATAAACTGCCCGACTCTTCTGAACGAGAATCAGTGGGTGATTGTGTTAGCAAGATCGTTGACTTTGTCAATAATCGTCTGAAAGTGACCCTACGATCAGACGACATTGACATCGCACAAAGACTTGGGAGGTTTGACAACACCAAGAAGAGAAGTGTGATTGTTAAGTTTACACATCGACGGAAAAAACACGAAATCATCAAGGCTCGTAGGACGCTGAAGGGATACGGATTCACAGTATTCGAGGACCTCACGAAAGCTAATCAACAAAGATTCCATGAGGCTGATCAATTTGACTGTACAAAACTCTTATAGTATAGACGGAAAACTATTCGTTGTATTGAAAACGGACGAAAAAAGAAACTGTTTCATGACACAAAACTCACAGCAAAATATCTTGAAAATGACGCTAACGTTGGTTACAGAAGGAACTAAGTGCATAAACTAAAACGGTCGACAGTGTCTTGTTGACCAGTGTTAAAAGTGCGTTTCCTAAGTGATTTACTTATTTGTGAGTTTTCGTTTTCGTAGTTATCTTTTTGGAGGATTTTAATGTTTTTCAAATTCGCTTTTATAAAGTACTATCGGAATATATGTTTTCCATGTGATGGTTAGTCTGTTGATATAAAAATATGTTGAATAACATTACGACATACTTTATTTTGGTTACCGAGTGATTATTATACAAACTGTTATTTCTAATTGTTTTCTAAAATGTAAATATTGATACCTGTATTTAGATGTTGACTACTTCAGGTCAAAATTACAAACTTCTTTTTGATTATCTCTGATTTCACTCGGTATCTGTTTGCAGTATGTTCACCAAACATACGGCACGTATAATTGTCGATACCTGGTCTTTCTCAGTATTTTTGAACACGGTTCTTTTGATCAATTTGTGTACCGTATTTACATTAAATATTTTTTACTAGGAGATTCCGTCCTAGAAATATTATTAACATCTAGGAGAATGAATTTTCCGTGTAACGGAAAATTTAGCTATTGTAACATAATTTTCATATCTTGCGTTCATGCACTAAACATAAAAAATCTTGATGCATTGAAAAAAATACATGTTCCATGGTGTGTGATTGACGTGGTATAGTTTTATTTGTTTGTTGGTTTATTTTCATTTTTGCTATTGATAACAAGGGTTTGATTGTTCGCAACTAGTATGTGGATTTTCTTTTGTAGCTGCTTTTTTTCAAATACTATATTCTTCAATGCAAACAAAATCTGGATATACAGTACCGAATCATTTAGGCGTTACTATATCCTGCTGACTTCCGGTGTAATTTCCGGTATATTACAAGGCCTAGCATGCATGGTGTGAACATTTTTCTCTTTTACTTTTTTAAGCGTGAGTATGTCAGTGGTTATCGACTCTAGACCTCAAACATATGATTTGAGGTTATTATTTCTTCTTCCTTCTATTTCTTTTTTTGCTCACAGGAATGCCAGACTTACTATCAATGGTAACACTTCACGTGTATGACAGCGGTGTAACGTGATTGTAATAATATTGGTATCAGCAAATTGTCAGGGTCTGGGCGATAAGTTAAAAAGGAAAGACGTTTTTTCATACATAAATGATTTTTTTTTACAACATTTGTTGTTTACAATATACG